ATTAAAAAACTCTTCCAAACTTAACAATTCATCTCACATCAGTAAAACAATTGTTACTTTTCATATATTACATTATGTTAAAATAAAAAAATGTATGTAGGTAAACATATATATAAAATTAGAGATTCGCCAATATAAAAATTCTGACTGTTATCGATAGGATGATGGTTATTTTCTTTTTTTGGCTGATAAATGACCAATATTAACATTATGTAGTCTTTTCTAATTAAAATCCCAAAAAATTTAAGTGAATTCATACATATTATATTATATATAGTGAATTATATATATTCATTTTGATAACAGATATGTTCCTGGTATATCATGCATCCCATACTGAATACTGTCAAAAGGCTATAAATAAATACATTTGTATAATTGCCCAGTTCTAGTATATATATATATATAGCAGCCTTAAAGGGTTAGTTTACCCAAAAATTTAAATTAGGCTGAGTTTTACTCACCCCAGGGGCATCCTAGGTGAATGTGACTTTCTTCTTTCAGACGAATCCAGTCGGAGTTATATTAAAAATTGTCTTTGATCTTTCAAGCTGTTTAATGCCACTCAGTGGGTGTTGCATTGCTTCAGTCCAAAAGAACTTGAATAAAAATGCGCCCATCCATAAAAAAAAACAAAGGCCTCCTGTAGAGAATCGATACGTTTTTGTAAGAAAAATATCCATATTCAAAACATAATAATCACTTGAATCTAGCTTGCGCTCACTGTTGTAAAGGGAAGCAGTTCCGGGGGAATGACGTATGAGGTCGGCTTTGTATCAAATATATCAAAACTTAATTTTTGATTAGTAATATGCATTGCTAAGGACTTCATTTGGACAAATTTAAAGGCTATTTTGTCAGTATTTAGATTTTTTTTTTGCACCCTCAGATTCCAGATTTTGAAATAGTTGTATCTCAGCCAAATATTGTCCTATCCTAACAAACCATACATCAATGAAAACCTTATGTATTCTTTCAGATGTCGTATAAATCTCAATTTCAAGAAATTGACCCTTATGACTGGTTTTGTGGTGCATGGTCACATTTATACACTGAGTATTTTAAGTTTGAATTTGCCACCAATATTTACAGTTACGATTTGTATAATTTCTCACCAAAAACTCGAATTTAATATCACATTAATGCATTGTCATTTCCCAAACAGACAGGTCACATATTGGCTCGTGCGATTCAAAGCCCACCGAGCACAACTCAACGCTACGAAAGGAGCTTAAGCAGTTTTTCGGCTGGATGCGCAAACACTCTTACGGCTGTACCGACGTCAGCATCAAACTCTACGACCAATGGCGCGTCTGGCTGCAGAAAGCCCAGAAAACGCACGACCAGGTCAGTAAGGACAAAACGCACCTTCTTATACGACACATATCAAGACAACAAATCATTACTGTTGGCACACATGATATAGGGCCTGTAAAAAGAAGAAAGAAGCAGCATTTTGCGGTTTTATGTGACCCACAAAAAAGAGAACCAAAAGATCTGTTTATTCTTTTGATCAATAGGCTCACATTTGATTGCGTTTACTAATAGTGAAGCATCATATAATCTTCAGACGTTACCACAACAGAGAGGAAACAGCCACTCAAAGTAATCAGCCGGAATGCTAATAAATTCCTTTTAGGTTAGACTGCACGGCAAAGCTTCAGCTGCGAACCAACCGAGCCCAAGAAGTCTTGTGTGGCGTTCTCGAACGCTAACCGACATCCGCTGCACGCTCTCTGAACCGATTCAGTGGTTACTGTTGCTTTGGCACTGACGACTGTTGGGAAACTTAGGTCGCTTCATTAGTCACACTGTCCTTTGAAGAACACGATGTAACTGCCACAAGAATGGCTGGTACCAATTACACTTCTCTGTCCCCATATATCAACTCATCACATTCACTTGTAAATGCCATTGTCTTGCCTTTCAGGTACTACAAAGCGGTAAATCATAGTGAAACTCTAAAGAAGGCTTGGGAGAGTTTGCGGGGGCCTGCGACGACAAGGTTTTTATCACTCTCCAGTGCTTGGGACTTTCATTTGGATGAGCCAAGACTCTCCGAAGGGATCTGCAAGGAGCCTGTCGTTTGGCGACATGATCTACTGTTTGCCTCCTGCTGTAGTCCCCATCAAATACGTCAAAGGAAGCGCTTTTGTCTCAGACATGTTATTTATAAGGGCATTAAAACAAAGAGAGAATATAAAATGTTTTTAAAAAGGAGATAATGGGGGATTCTCTCATTCTTATTGACCTTTCATCCAAAAAAAGGACCTTTGCAACTCAACAAGTGGATCGAAAAATGACAAAAACTGACAGATTTTACAAACTAAATTTAATTTGCAAAGAGTGAGAATCCGTAAGCAACAACAAAAAACGAGCATTTAAATATTAATCTCTTAAAGGGATAGTTACTAAAAAAGTAAACGAGGACTGATGTTGCCAAGCTTCAGAATGAACAAAAGTACTGTAAAGGTATCATAAAACTGTCCATTTGACACTATATTCCAAATCTTCTGAAGTCATATTATTTTTTTGCAGGACAAACAGATTGAAATTTAAAGGGTTAGTTCACCCCAAAATGGAAGTTCTGTCATTAATTACTCACCCTCATGTCGTTCCAAACCCGAAAGACCTTTGTTCATCTTCAGAAAACTAATGAAGATATTTTTGATTAAATCCGAGAGCTCTCTGACCCTCCCATAGACAACAACGATCCTAACACGATCAAGGCTCAGAAACGTAGCAAGGAGATCATTAAAATAGTCCATGTGACATCAGTGGTTCAACCATAATTTTACGAAGCTACGAGAATACTCTTTGTGCGCAAAGAAAACAAAAATAACAACTTTATTCAACAATTCGTCTCCTCCGCGTCACCCTATAGCGCCATTTTAGAGAGTATCACATACTTAAACAACGTATGTTTACAAAGTTACTTTCAAAAGTAATGTATCACAATATTACGTTCCTCCTTGAAAAATAACTAATTACAATACTTAGTTACTCTTTATGGAAACTAATGCAAATTCCAAAATGAACCAAAGCATTGTAAAATAGTCATAAAATTGATCCATCTGACACACTTCACTTCGTTTATTTCATTAAAGAAGATAATAGGAGACTTTCTCATTCTCATTGACCTGTCATCCCATTTACATCTTGCTGACATTCGCAGACACACAATGAGTGGATTGAGTGGCTGTTTACACATCGTTTTCAGCCAAAAACGGGAAACTTTTTATAGGTTTTGCCTGTTCGTTTACACGACAACTGTGTTTTGGGGACTGAAAACGCATATTTTTGAAAAAGGGTTTCAAAGTGCAAGTTTTTGAAAACGCCACCTTTATCGTTTCCGTGTAAACACCCAAAACGGGAATCTTTGAAAACGGTGACGTCATGCGCGTGCGTAGTACGTGTTAGGTATGTAGACATGCGCAGTACGTGTCGATTTTAAAGGCAAGCGCGAACAAACATACACAACAATGGCGGAGTACATGGTACTGTTGTTGCTGCTCAAGAGTTTGCTAACGCCGTCCGTCCTAAAGCTAGTTCATGAGAGAATTAGTGATGTTCTGAATGAATCGTTCTTTGGAACCAGATCTTTTGAATGAATTAGCAGTTCCAGTTAATGCGCCAATCTGAATAATTCATTCACAAATCTTGAATTCATTTAACTAAATGATCCAATTCACCTTATACAAAACTATCATATGGCTTCAGAAGGCTGAATATAGTCACATGGACCCCTTTATGGTCCTTCTGTGTCCTGTTTGAAGCTTTCACATATGAAATAAACTCATATAGATTTGGAATGAAATGAGGGTGAGTGAATAATGACAGACTTTTCATTTTAGTGTACTGTCCCTTTAATTGTTAAACACACAAGTTTAAATTAGTATTTGAAATGCAATTTGCAAGTCCTCTGTGTTCAAAAACATCATGTAAATACTGTATCATTATGTATAAATAGTTTTGTTTGTATAAATGTCTTCAAAATATTTAAGGAATGCTCATATATATTGTAACACATTAGCTTTTGCTGAATATTATTATTATGCACATAATAATGAACGTTATTTACATTCAGAATGAACAGATCTATGCTTTAAATGAAAATTGTGTTGGTTTAGCAAACAAAACGTCATAAGCTATTCTGAAAGTATAAAAAATAATGAAATAAAAAGATGCCAAACTCTCTTTAATAAAAATATGCATTGCAAAGCCTGCATCAGCAGCAGCAATGCACTCTGTCTATGCAACGCCTGAGACAGCGATCGATACCTTAGATGACTCTTCATTAGAAAGGTAAGTTCATAGAGGATCTGAATCCATCTCTGTCTCCTGAGACTGACTGAATCTCACTCCGGCTCCTCTGAGTCATACTTGAAGTCTTGCAGAATCTCACTTAAAGCGGCTGCATTCTTTATGATACTGACAGAGATGGAGAGAAACAGAAAGGGTTTTTTCATTCGGAGGTTTAGAAGAACAAAAGGTGTTAACCATTAACCTGATATACCAAGTACTGTACATCAAAACCAGGATGAAACATTACAACAGTGATATATACAGTGATAAATATAGAGTGTAGCCTAATTAATAAATACTTTCTGAACATTTAAATAATATTCTATAACATATAAATGACATTCTATATAAAAGTAATGAATTACAGTGATACAATATATATTGAGTCATTAAAATAAAAATAAATTACACATAATTCTTATTAATATATATATATATATATTAAGCTACTTAAAATAAATGACAAATTAATACTAAATTACATTTTAAAAATATGCAAAAAATACAGTTGTGTTCTAAGCAGTTTTTCTCAATTTTCTTGTCATTGTCAGGTGTGTAGGAAAAACTTCCACTTACTCCTGTTCATTTATTTTATTAATCAATTAACATTGTCACAAATATGCAAGAAACAAACAGTTAAACATTTAAAGCATAATTAATAAATACTTTCTATTTTTTATAGTTGATAAGTCCTCTGTGTTCAAAAACATCATGTAAATACTGTATCATTATGTATAAATAGTTTTGTTTGTATAAATGTCTTCAAAATATTTAAGGAATGCTCATATATATTGTAACACATTAGCTTTTGCTGAATATTATTATTATGCACATAATAATGAACGTTATTTACATTCAGAATGAACAGATCTATGCTTTAAATGAAAATTGTGTTGGTTTAGCAAACAAAACGTCATAAGCTATTCTGAAAGTATAAAAAATAATGAAATAAAAAGATGCCAAACTCTCTTTAATAAAAATATGCATTGCAAAGCCTGCATCAGCAGCAGCAATGCACTCTGTCTATGCAACGCCTGAGACAGCGATCGATACCTTAGATGACTCTTCATTAGAAAGGTAAGTTCATAGAGGATCTGAATCCATCTCTGTCTCCTGAGACTGACTGAATCTCACTCCGGCTCCTCTGAGTCATACTTGAAGTCTTGCAGAATCTCACTTAAAGCGGCTGCATTCTTTATGATACTGACAGAGATGGAGAGAAACAGAAAGGGTTTTTTCATTCGGAGGTTTAGAAGAACAAAAGGTGTTAACCATTAACCTGATATACCAAGTACTGTACATCAAAACCAGGATGAAACATTACAACAGTGATATATACAGTGATAAATATAGAGTGTAGCCTAATTAATAAATACTTTCTGAACATTTAAATAATATTCTATAACATATAAATGACATTCTATATAAAAGTAATGAATTACAGTGATACAATATATATTGAGTCATTAAAATAAAAATAAATTACACATAATTCTTATTAATATATATATATATATATTAAGCTACTTAAAATAAATGACAAATTAATACTAAATTACATTTTAAAAATATGCAAAAAATACAGTTGTGTTCTAAGCAGTTTTTCTCAATTTTCTTGTCATTGTCAGGTGTGTAGGAAAAACTTCCACTTACTCCTGTTCATTTATTTTATTAATCAATTAACATTGTCACAAATATGCAAGAAACAAACAGTTAAACATTTAAAGCATAATTAATAAATACTTTCTATTTTTTATAGTTGATTCTAATACTATTTTAAAAAATGTACACACACACACACATCATTCATTCATTAATATTGATTAATTATATAATTAAATGTAATTTTACATATGATTACTAATCAATATAATATATAAAATAATGCCTTTAAATATAAATTACAGGTTAATATTAAATAAAACCATTTTAAATATATACAAAATATATATACACAGTTGCACTTACTCCTGTTTGATCTCACGGACTTTCTCTTGGAAATCCTCATCTTCTGGGTGATCCTGGGCATTCTGCTTGGCCAACTGTAACTTAGCTGTCTGCAAAGTCATAAATATAGATAAACATTAAGAATACAGTAACCAATTACAGAACAGATACATTTGGTTCAATACCGTTTCAGTCTTATGCATACAGAATATATAAAATAATTTGACAAGCTAATTTAAGTTATGCAGGACTGAAATGTTTAACTGATCACCTTTCTAACTAAATATGCTTGACAGTGCACATCCTAACATTCCTATAAAATATCTCAATGACCCAGCGCAGTGCCTGAAATGCTGTATCCCATAATGCAATGCACTCAAGTTTTCATTTCCAACCTGATGAATCAACGTGAAGTATTTGCAGCTTCAGTGTTTAATCACTCATTATTTTATCAAATTTGGAATGAAAAGCAAAATAGATCTAAAATAGATCAAATCTGTGTACAGTATTGTGTAGTATCAGCCAAACATTTTTTAAAAACAATACATTGCCCACCAGCTCTAGTTTCTCCTTCTCTTTAATCTGCAGTTTGTCAATGTGTTCGGAGAGGTCGGGCCGGTCGAAGTCTTGGTGCAGTTGCTCTTTAATCTGCAGAACCTCATTGGAAATGCCGCAGAATGCTTTCGTTATCTCATGTACCAGCTGTTTGTAGTGCTCGAAGTCATAGTGGGGCCCCGTCCTTAAGTACGCCTCATGACCCCTGAGAAAAAACAACAACTGTATTACCTCAAATAACCTCTGACAGACATATGATAGACAGACAGACAGATAGACAAATAGATAGATAGACAGATAGACAGACAAATAGATAGACAGACAGATGATAGACAGACAGATAGATAGATAGATAGATAGATAGATAGATAGATAGATAGATAGATAGATAGATAGATAGATAGATAGATAGATAGATAGATAGATAGATAGATAGATAGATAGATAGATAGATAGATAGATAGATAGATAGATAGATAGATAGATAGATAGATAGATAGATAGATAGATAGATAGATAGATAGATAGATAGATAGATAGATAGATAGATAGATAGATAGATAGATAGATAGATAGATAGATAGATAGATAGACAGATAGATAGATATAGACAGACAGACAGATAGATAGACAGAGACAGATGATAGACAGACAGACAGATAGACAGATAGATAGACAGACAGCTGATAGACAGTCAGACAGACAGACAGATAGATAGATAGATAGATAGATAGATAGATAGATAGATAGATAGATAGATAGATAGATAGATACTGACTCCTCAAATAGCTTGTATGCCTCCACACGCTCAGCTTGAAGTACATAAAATCTTCTGACCAAATTTTTTAAATCTGTAGGTGCCTTTTAAAAAAGAAAAAACAGAATAGACACAGAAGTCACAAACATCTAAAAGACTAAGAATATGAATCCCCTGCTGTACGTATACAATATTATTAAACAGTCAAAAACATGGTAATTTTTTGTTAGTGACATAACTGTAAATGCAATTATAAATGTATTTATGATTTATTATTATTTTGTTAATAAGTCACTTTATTACTATGTATATGTAATAAATGTTAATATGTAACTTTATGGTCACACTTTATTTTAAGGTCCAATTTTCTCTATTAACAAACCATTAAATACGTCTTTTGCCTCAATAAACTCCTAATTTGCTGCTTATTAATAGTAAGGTAACTTAGTTGTTAAGTTTAGGTATTGGGTAGGATTAGGGATGTAGAAGTAGAATATGGTCAGGCAGATATGTGCTTTATAAGTAAGAAACAGCCAATATGTTGATAATAGGCATGCTAATAAGCAACTATCCTGCTGAAAAACAACAACAACGGAATTCGTAATGGTTTTACTGGTTACAATGGGAATTGTAATGGTGCCTGTTGGTCTCTACTGGTAACTGGTCAGCTTCTACTGGTGGCTTGTTAAAACCACTAATTCCTAATGGAATATGTCCCAAAACACACTACAGGAAACCATTTTTAATGGTATTTGTAGTGGAAACCATTAGAATGTCTGTGATGGTTTGTATTGTTTTTTTCAGTTAATAGTGAGAATTGGTCCTTATACTAAAGTGTTACCAACCGTATTCTATTCGAATTCTACTTCTGTATAGACTAGCTTTAGCAAATTCGCTACGTTGTATATACTGTATTTCTATTCATTTAATATTCCTAAATGTGATTATATGATACAAGCTGAGTTCAAACTAACTTACCATGTTGCTGTAACTGTGCTTTGGGTGTTTTCGTAGCTTGGCAGATAAATCTTCAGACCAGCAACATGTGTATGTTTCGGTCAGTCACGCAGCACGCAGCACGCAGCACGCAGCACGCAGCACGCTGCTGTTGCACTCACTTCCTGTTTGGGTTCGCGTAATACAACGTAATGTGACGTCACCTCAATGCTAATGTGCTGGGACAAAACTCAAGAGGCCTGTTTACTTTCTCTGCAACTTACTTATTTTACTTGCAAAATATTTTATCCACAAATGCAAGGTTATGAAAGTTACCCCCCACTTCTCTTACTTTCAAGAAGATATTAAAATTCTTCCTCCTGTAACAAAAAGGCAACTACAGCTTTGAATGTATGCTCACTTTTTGGTGTTTTTGTATCATTTTTATCTGATAATTATTTTGTGTTTTGAGGGAAGAGTACGTTTTTGTTGTGTGATCTGTGTATTTTATTTATCTTATTTTTTTCTCATTTACTTATTTATTTATTTTTCTACTCTTACTCTTTTGATTTGTAATTGCTGTATATTGTTTGGTCATCCCCTGGCTCTTTTCCTTGGCATATGTTCTGTCAAATCTTTAATAAAAAATTTATATTTTCTCCAGCGTTGGTTTGAAGCAGATATCTTACTCGTCGTAAATCAGTTGTTTAATGAAAATGGCCTCTTATTAAATGATAAAGAATCTCTTTGTCGTTTTAATATTCCCATTACCGCTAAAGAATTTGCTATTGTTTTTGATGCCATACCATTTGGAGTCATTAGACTGTTTCAAATGACCCCCTATCCTTCTATTTTACCTTCTTTAGATCCTACTATTTCAGTGGTGGGCAAACAGTGCTTTTCTTCCTCTTCTTCTAATAAATCAATACCTTTGTTATTTCTTAATGATTTTGTATCAATTCCAAATATTACGGTTTATTGGAATGCTTTTGTCTCTGATTATATATATATTCCCTGGAGGAAAGTTTGGCTTATTCCAAACAGATACTTAATTACTAATAAGATGAAAGAAGTGTCCTTTCGAATTATCCATCGTTTATATCCTGTTAATATTTTCTTAAAGAAATATAAAAAAGATATTGATACAAACGGTTCTTTTTGCAAACAGCCCCCAGACACTATAGTGCATTTATTTAGGCGCTGCCATTGTTGTGGAACGATCTCTCCTGATTTGTTATTGAGAATATTGCTAAAGATTTTTCTTTGCTTTGGGGAAATGTTTTGCTTGAATTTGTTCATTCAAAAAAGTGCTTTTACAGAAAAACTAATTGTACTTACTTAATCTCCTTATCTTATTAACAAAATTGTATATACATAAATGTAAATTCTCATGTCAGAAGCCAGTTTTATGTTTTGCTTGATGAAATAAGCCTACAGCATAACTTTGGGACTATTTCTAACTCGTGTAATAAGAAGGCTTTAAAAACAGTTGAAAGTTGTAAGCGGTTTAATCTTTTCCTTTGTATGTAATATGTTTTGTTTAATTGTATACCCCTGTCTAGTAATTTATTAGTTTTGTTATTATAATTGTTATATTTAATTTTATTATTATTATTATTATTATTATTATCATTATTTTGTATTGTAACTGCTTTTTATTGGTTGATATAATGTTCGTAATTTTAAAAAGATCTTAGAGGTCCTCCATTTTTACGTATTATGGCTTGTGACTAAGCAAATAGAGGCATAATTTCTTAAAATCATATAAAAATATAAATATTTATAGTATTTTACTATATAGTGGATGCTGCACACTGGTGGTGGTTGAGGAGAGACCCCCCATATGATTGTAAAGCGCTTTGGGTGTACAACAATACACAATAAAGCGCTATATAAATGCATCATTCATTCATTCATGCATTCATTCATTCATGCATTCATTCATTCATGCATTCATTCATTCATGCATTCATTCATTCATGCATTCATTCATTCATGCATTCATTCATTCATGCATTCATTCATTCATGCATTCATTCATTCATGCATTCATTCATTCATGCATTCATTCATTCATGCATTCATTCATTCATGCATTCATTCATTCATTCATATATATATATATATATATATTACATTTATATTCGTATTCATATATACATAATATGTATGTTTTCTCTACAATTTCTCTATAAATACCGCTTTTAATTAATTCAGTATATTAAAAACATTATGAAACTGTAATTTATAAAAGCGTTCTTATATCGTTTTATCAGCGTAACGCTAATATGAAATGTCTCGTGCTAAAGGACCAATAGGGGGCGCCCGTGTCCTATATTATGCTAAAACCTTTATTGCGCTTCCATATCAAAATGAATTCACAATAGGTTGAAGTTTTATATTTTAAAGCCATACTTTTATTATGTCAATATGTCAGAAACGGCTCAGTTAAATCATATTTAGGTTACATAATTAAAATGAATTATATTGCTCACATGCATTAAATTAATGCATTAAATTACATTAAATTAATGCATGTCGCTAAACATTAACCGACAAAAGCATTCGGATCTTTTCGGTCTCATTCAACCGGACCTGTGTAGCTTCCAGGCGGCGTTGCAGGGACAGTGCAGTCTTGTCTCTACTAGCTCAGAGGGGCTTTATAGACTTGTTCTGACACACCACTGAATGAGACAAAAGCCTGGAGAGTTCAAAGGGGCAAAAGCAGACTGCCCTGGTTACATTACAGCCTGTGGAGCTCAGCTCACTGGATCTGATGTGCATTAAATACCGTGCAACACAAGGGGTGGGGTGGGGGGGATGGAGATAAGTTTTAATGTTGAAATATGAGCAATCGGAACTAAGGCGGATAAATACAGCACGCCGAGAGGGATTGTCTGTACGTGTGGAGAGGAGTTAAAAAATCAGTTGCACGGACGCAACATTGGCAATTGGGATAAAAACGTTGCACGCGCTGCACCGGCGGAGACTCGTGCTTCCCTCCAGTGGATACTTGCACTCGAAGTTGTAAGAATGTTTGTGGAATACACGCCGGAGAGACTCAACACAAAACAAACGAGGGACAAAATGAGAGTGTTACATGTCCACCACAAATCCTGGACTCTGTGGACTGTGTTCATGTTGTGTGTAATGAGTGGAGTTCATTCACAAGAAAGACAGTGAGTATGTTTGTAGCTCTCTTTTATGAATGATACCTAACCGCTTTTTCATTTCAAGCATGCATGTCTAGAAAAGACATCAGCCAGGTGATAACGGCATCCTCTGTAGTTTGTCGCTCGCCTGTGGAAATGTTTCCTTGTGCAACAACAAATAAACTGATGTGTGTGGGTGTTACTAGCAAATAACATGTACTCCGTTACAAATGTTTATGGTAACTATAATTGCTACCAAAATGTCAATGCATTTACTAGTGTAACACACCATGGTTAACTAATATGGGATCCTCTTCAAAGACGTTTTCATGTACTTGACAAGATACTACAGTTTTGTTGTAACTGTAGTGTCTGTTATTTTGATAGAAACTATGGTTACCATAGTACAGTACATTTTTGTAAAGGGTGGTACAGCTGACATTATGTTATTTACAAACTCCCAAGAGATGTACTTTCAAAACAGGTCATTGTTATGTTTCATAAATAACACGCACTTAAAGTTGATCTCATTGTCTTAGTCACAGATTTCCCACTGTTGGTAAGATCAAGAAGCTAATTTTTTCAGCTTTAATGCTGCTGTAGTGAGATAAATGTATGTGCTTAACCCAATTTTTTCTCCTCATTTTCTCAAGAATACAATCCAGTTCACTTTCCCAAGGGTATATTAGAAGACTATGGTCTTTATACTTATAAAGGTTCTTCAGTGATTCTTTTGTAGGACGCTGGGTTCATTTTTCTTATCAAGTACCATTTTCACTTTAGGGTTATTTGAGGAAGTTATTGATGTTACATTGATAGTAATTTTGTTTGATCATTTTTATTAATACTGGAACCAGATTTCTTTAATTATCTCCAACGTCAAACAATAAGTTGACAAGAAGCTTGTTCAAACCCCTTAAAGGGAGTTATTTGAGGAAGTTATTGATGTTACATTGATAGTAATTTTGTTGCTCAAGTTTGATAATTTTTATTGATACTGGAACCAGATTTCTTTAATTATCTCCAACGTCAAACAATAAGTTGACAAGAAGCTTGTTCAAACCCCTTAAAGGGATCATATGATGCAATTTCAATTTGTCCTTTCTCTTTGAAGTGTTACAAGCTCTTGGTGCATAAAGAAGATCTGTAAAGTTGCAAAGACTAAAGTCTCAAATCCAAAGAGATATTCTTTATAAAAGTTAAGAGTCAACCACGCCTACCTAAAACGGCTCATTCTAACACGCCCCCACATAGCTACGTC